CTTTCGTTTTATTCCCAAATAAATATTTCTTCAACTTGCATTTGCTAACTTTATTATTGCCTTTTCTGTCCAACTAGTTGGGTGATACTAAAACAAGTACACCCTTCGCCCTCAAGGGCTACGGGTCTAATTGTTAAATATCACACTGTCTTCTTTCTTTCCTTCCCCACTATGTAGTTCTCTGGGTGCAGTCAATTTTGTAATAACTACCTTGAGTGGAGACAAGTGGCGCTCGTTGTACTTGGCATACTGCCTCAGCGTACTACTACAGTTGTACATGTACGCTGCCATGAGATTCTTCACTGCACCGTCAGGGACAACTGTCAAGAGCTTTAAAACTGTACTTGGCTGGAACAAATCAACAACACGATTACAATCACAGCAACAGACGAAAACAAAAAGTCAATTTAGGACAAGGAAGCCAGCTCTTGAGAACGGCATCCTATATTATAGGTGGATGCCTAAGCAATGCTTCCCAGTTGTTAAAGGAGCTACGACACGGTTTGCGGCATCTTGAAAAGTTTACCTCAATTTTTCAAGTACGTCGCTAGTAATCCGTGTTAATCTACTCCGAGGAGTTAAACTAGGGTCTACCAAGAAACAACTCCAGCAGGTAAGTGATCAGAGCGGGACTTGAACCCGCGACCTCCGGATTTCAAGACCGGCGCCCTGACCACTCGGCCACACTGCCTCCAGCCTTTGAGACGCGTTGTATAAACTGCTTTTTACTTACACTAAATCGGTTTTCCAATGTCGTATGGGTAAAGTCGACCACTAATTCCCAAGGCCTGTCGATGCAGCTTTCTAGTGTAAGCAAGGCGTGATAAATAAGAAGTTCATCGCTTATTTGGTCACCCCTGCAAATAATAAACATTTTCGAGAAACATCAGGCATATTGAAGACACACCAAGTAATTTTGCAATCATTTTAATAGTCAGTCCCCTACTCTATCACGATGCACAATTAGCTGCACCGTGAAATAACGAGGCCTTGTAAATAATCGATTACCGGTCATTTAGCTCCCAAATCGATTAGCCCTTAGCAAATTAGCCCTCAACCAGAAGTCGAATAGCCCCCAAATAGACAGTGTTTTCGACTTCTGCCTGGGGGCTAAATGGTTAGGGGCTAATCGAACACAATGAATCTTTACCCAGTGTAACAAACCTTGGAACCCGTTATTCGGGGCGTCACGCAACGAAATAACGGTTGCGAAAGAGACTGAACCCAACTTAATACACAACTAAAGGATGTTACCTTGATGTAACACTAAATTCTCAGAAGTGACAGTAAACTAAACGCTTGGCAGCCAGTAAAGAGAATCTATATTTCACTGGGGGCGAAAGGGTTGCAAACACGTTTGACTTCAATTTTCTTTTCTAAAGTATAACACAGCACCTGAATCGTCTGGCAATGTAGTAAAACACTGGATGTCCTCCTTTGGATTTTCCACCCTTAAAAACGAAAAAATTAAACCAAGTAAACTTCCACTTCCAAATTAATGTCTCTTGACATGTTAAGAAAATTACCATTTCAAATGTAAAATACCAGTATTTTAGTTTGTAAAAAGGCAAACATAAAGCAACACTGTAGCGCAGTTCAACCACAGTGTAACTAACAGTTTCGTCGCCGCAGCGTAATCGCAAACTGAATGCTTTCGACTGCAAAGCAGTTTTATCGCCGTTTCACTGCGCTGATTTAAACCCAATTTAACAACACTTTGACGAACATTAACTGCAAATTGAAAGCGGTTTCAAAGTTCTTTCATTACAAATAGGCCATTTTCGTATTATCGGTATTGGAGTGGAACTACAATCCTGGTCAAAAGTCTTGGGACACTTTGCACTTTTGCCAACATATGGCCTTCCTGTCCATCTCCCCCTCCCCACCCCCAACACAATGTTGATGTTGATTCATCCAAAGTAGACCCACTACTCCAATATTGTTTTTGGAGGGGGGAGGGGGGTTCGGCAAATGAAATAATGACTTCCCACTTCAAAATAAAGCGTCACCGGTTGTCATTTTGTCAAGTGTCCCAAGGACTTTTGGCCAGGATTGTAGCTTGCAATGGAGGTTTATGCGGGGGAATAAATGAATCTGAAAAAATTCCCGCATTAGCCCCAGTATTAAGCTAGTTCCAGTCAAATTCCGAGACTACGAAAAGCGTATGCGACCATGTTGAAAGTTATTATAGTGGTCGCTATCATTGCTTGATCGAAATTCGCGCTGTCTAGTAACAAAGGATGAAGAAACCACAGATGTTTGTACATGTCTTTTCCTTCTATCTTTAATACTGAGACACTGGGAACTTTCCTCAACAGGGGGAAGCTTACGTTTCCCATAACATCATTCGGCATTGTCGCGTGCGCTTTTACGCTTTCGTAGGACAATCTCTCTCGAGACAGCTGTATATCACGACACCTTCAAAGAACGACAATGTAGAGTGTTCCCTTAGGCCCAATATGTTACTGATTTATGACAGTAAATTTTCAACCAAAGGACCTCAAAAGAACCTATACCACTCGCTTCAACAAAATCTAAAGAAAGGAAAACAGTATTGAAAAAAAACCTAACATAAAACGTACTTGATAAAACACATTTAAAGCTTTCATGGCCTGCAAATCGTCGCGACTCTCTTCAGCGTGTCGTGCCATGAATTCCTCAAACCGTGCGCCATCTTGCCACCGTCTAAACGACAAACAGCAAAAAAAAACAACAACAACAACAACAACAACCACGTTACACTACCTCTACTGCAATGGCCGGCGTGCACGAGGGAACTAGTCCCTGCGAAAAGTCGCGGAGACAAGTCCCTTCGTGTGAACTAGCCATTTTTGTCAAAAACTCTAGCAAATTTAATTCTTGTCCCACGAGTTCAAACTGGCTTGAACTGAAGGCACGCTGAAGTCTCGCGACTAACGCTTTGTGTGAACTGTTCGTGGGACAGGTCGCAAGGACTAGTCTCGGAGACTTATCCCTTCGAGTGCCGAGCATAGGAAACGAAATTTAGCCAATATCAAGCTGCAAACAAAAATGCTACTTTACAGTTGCATAAAGTCACTCTTTGGTTTTGCATGACTACCGAGGCCCTTTCGCACAAGGACTCTCTTTTCAAAAACAAGACACCAAACTTTCTACTCTTCGTTCACCAAGACCTGCGACCAGGGCACACACGTCTGTACGCAGAAACCCTGGTACAGTACCGTGCTAAACGTTTCTTCAGTAGTTAACCGGAGTGAGAAGTGAGTGGATCAGGAACTGCTATAACACACCACTAACTTCAACAAACTGACAACGCTGGGACAAAGCATTAGTTGATTTAAATGCTAGAGCAATTCTGAAGTTTTTTTTCCCATAACACAAGCATACTTGAGGAGGTGGATTAACGACATACCTTCTCTGATAATCTCCACAAGTACTACTGACAAATACATGTTGCATAATCTTGCTTTTTCCCAAAGGATTTATTTAATTTTATTGTCACATATAAATGGGACAGCAGAAAATCCCCTAGAATGCGACATCGCTACATGTAGGTGTAGAAGTGCAATAATTAGCACAATTAAATGGTTTTATAAACAGGGCTGAAACTTACACGTGTGAAAAATGATTTTTCTGCTGATCAGGTGGTCCGAGATGAGCTAGAAGAGTCGACATTTTCTCAAACGGTCTTCTACCAAACGTCTTGAATTCACTGAAAGAGAAGAATGGATTATGTTTGAAAATCCACTTGGAACCAAGCAGCTGTGCTATTTATCAGTGAGTTCTTTTTTATTGATCGTTTTCCTTTCGCTTCATCGCCCCTCTAGGTCTTTAGTCAAACCGCAAAAAAATTAATTTGGCTCCAACTAACTAGTCTATATTAGCGTTCCATCACGAATGCCGTCCTCTTATTGGCTATACTACTCACTATCTATTCTGTTGTACATAGTGAGTAGCCTAGCTGTGTGAGGTTGTTAACAAAATGGCGACGCCCGAGTCAACTATTATTCACAGAAATCGAGAGCGAATAATCTAATTGTTAAATAGAAACCTTAGCCTGTGACCATTTATTTCATATACCTCCACTGAACCATATACTAAGCATAATGACAAAAATTCTACTGTTCAAAATCTGATGGGAGTTGCGCAGAAAATCATCCTCTATCCGTTTCTTTTGCACAAATTCGTGCAATTAAACAAAAAGTCAAGTTATAAATAACAAATACAATAAAATTCTACGATAATTTTCACAAAGCGGATCACTGCTCACCTTTTCGTAGCCAGATAAGTGCCGATCTTTTCTTGGTGATCCCATAAGAGTTTATGAAGACTTAACACGCTGCTGTCACTAATGAAAGAGTAACTAGTACTGTCCTCGTCTCTCTTGCAGGGACACTTTGACGAGATGACACTGAAAAATCTGCAAAGTACAAAATAACGCAAAAAGATGAACCACCCATCCAAATCTGATTCAATTTAACTCTCTGTAAAGTGATGGACATCTGTTTCCATCCGAGATTTATTTTGAGCGATTTTTCAATACTACATGAGTTGGGACAAGAACTACAGATACATGTGGGGTGTCCAATTGTCAAAGGTAGAGCCTTCAGGCTGATGTATAGAGGGTATTACACGGCGACGCGAAGATATAAATTTTATTTTCGAATGGCAAACCATCATAAATATGTTGTTTCTTCCTAATAGGCCATTTTCGTATTCTCGGTATTGGACTGGGACTAGCGTGCAAACGAGGCTCATGCGTGGAATCTTTTCAAATGTAAATGACATTAATCTCCTTTTAATGATATTTCCCCGCATGAGCCTCCATTACAAGCTAGTTCCAGTCCAATACCGAGAATACGAAAATGACCTATTATATCGCGTGAAGGAAACAGACTTACTTTCTCGCCTTATCAAAGTTTGCTTGAAGGAAACCGTTAAACGGTTCCATGTGTTTCTCTTTAGTAAACAGCACATGATTGGCCAAATTCTGAAGAACCTGAAAACAACGACGAAAAATTCAATTATCTCTTTACAAATTGGCCAAGTCTTGCAGCACGTCTAACCTCACAAAAAGGAAAAAACTGAGGTAACAATTCTGCCACCCTCTCCTACCAGGTCGACTTGGAATTTGTAAATGCTAGTTTCGAGGAGAGAGGGGGGAACGGAGTACCCGAGGGAAATCCCTCGGAACAAGACGAGAACCAACAAGAAACTCAACCCACATATGACACTGGAGGCGAGTGTTTTCATCACTACGCCATCCCTGCTCCCCATTGCGTCAAACCGCTTAAAAACAGTGCCACTATGACAAACCAAAGAATGACAGCTTGCTACTAAGCACCCACCTTTGACAATAACATAAGTCCTCTTCCCAGCTCTTCTGAAGGAACCTGGTCAATAATTCCAGTTGCATGTGGTGACGCTTAAGAAAAAACGTTTCCTTAATGTTAGGCAAGTCTCAACGCATAATATGTAACAATATTTTTCCGGCTAGAACTTCATTCAGAGGTTCTTAACAAGCGATTTTTGTACTCCAAGATGGAAACTATGGTCAATTGTAATTGAAATTGAGCTACTCAGGTTGAACAGCTTTTTCTCGTGTCAACAAGCACATTTTATCAGTAGTTTTACTCCTCAGACATTTGGCCGTTTGTACTGTAGATTAAGTTTCAAGTACGGTAATAATATCAAACTGTTTGATAGTTCTACATGTTCTCCGTTAATATCTATTTACTATAGACTGGGGAAAGTAACATTTGTGTCATCTTGTAAATGAAATATCTTATCATGAAGTATTCTTCTAGATAAAGAAAAACGATGACTAAATTTCCGTCTTTTTCAACAAGTCTGAACTACTTGTCATTTAATTTGACTAAGAAATTATAAGACATTATAGTTATAGACACTTAGATATTATTTGCTGACAATCAAAGACATTGTGTTGGAGGCCTTAAGTAGATTAGCGCACAAAGTTAAACATACTTATTGCTGGGTTGATGAACCTCAGAAAGAACGCACTGCCCACTGCTTCTAAGCTATGCTTAGGAAATCTCTGATGAACAGTCTATGAACAACAAAATCATGTATCATTTAGATCACGTGGCGACTCTGTTAACTGCCTAGTGGCACATAAGGCCTTATGGTTAAGTCTCGAGCCCAGTGGTCCATCAGGTCGGCGCTTATCCTCGGTTTCTGTAGCATGAAGCAACTATATTTCTACTCCCCCCTGGATGTGATGCTAGTCCGGAGTCAAGCGCACTAACCATGAGGCGACTGCGCTTGCCTATAATGCCTTGTAGGTTTTATCAATTTACTTCATGCGATTAGCCCATTGCCCACCCAACCAACTGAGAGGACCAAGGACAGATCTTTGTCAAACCGCTACCGTTCGACCACTAAAACAAGGATGGTTAGCCCTACCAAAGACCAACCTACGTACAATCTCGGACAAAATCTGTTGAGACAAAGACATATTAAAGCCGTTCTCCTCAAACTGCGATGCGAAAACGACACCCCCAGCCCAGAAATGCCCCCTCTCACCCTCCCTTCTCAATGTTGTCCTATGTTTTTTGGAAAATATCTTTTGCGACGAACCATTCACGCACAAAGCAACATTGAAAGAGGGAAAGGGCGAGGAAAAGTAGGTAATAAGAGTGCGAATGTCCTATAAGTGTACTTTTGACTCAGTTGTCTCAACAGTTTTGTCCGCGATTGTAGTCCCTTTCAGCATAGCTAACCGGATATGCAAGCTTCACCATCACGGGTAACATTAATCAACGACATCGCTAAGAGAAAGTCAGCTATAAATAAAGAAACATAGAACTGCAATCCAACAAAAAAACACGGTGCAAATCCCAATCATATTATGGCCGTCTCAAGAATTGTTCAACAGAGTAGTAAGCTGTGTACAGCTTTAAATTCTTAAAAGGCGCACTTACCTCCCGTAGACAGTTGCACAGACTTCGCAGTTGAATGGGGAAGCTAAAAGAATGAAAGGATTAGGATGAGAAACTTGTTTCTGCGCCATTAATATTTAATCTTTTCTTCGCTCTCAAAGTATATACAAGAGAAGAAAGAACTTCGGCGTTCAGTCAAGCTGAAAGAAAGATTCACTTGACCGGACGTCACTTCTGTTAAAAGTCTAGCCTGTTTCAGGCTCTCAGTCAGTGAGAACGATCAAAAAAGCGTTCAGGTGACGAACAGGGTCTTGTAAAGAAAAAGGAGAGGGTGCCTGCAGGCCATTAAAAGTCATACACAGCTTGTCCAATCGACTACGAGTATTCCCACTTTCGATTAGTCCGTCGTGCGTGACGCGAAAGAAAACCGCGAGAAAAAAAATGGCCCCGCGAATTCCTGCGGGCGAGAACCACGCGTCTCGTCCCGTTTCGTCTCGCATCTCGTCTCGCCCCCACGATTTCACGCCGTCATTTTTTTCCTCGCGGTTTATTTACGGTCTCGCTCCACGGACCAAGCGAACGAGGGACAGTCCAATCGTTGGACAAAACATAAAATACAATTTACCTCTCAGCAGAAATGACAATCTCATTGATGAATTTCTGTGCCGCTTTAATCAGATTATTCCTGTTCTCTTCCACATTTTGGCCTTTTTCAAGCCTGATATTGAAGAAACAAAACAAGTAAACAAAATGCAATAACACAACTAGCAATAAGACTACATGTACAGTACTATCTTGTAAACAAACCTCGTGGGATCGACTTCAAATGAGATCCGTTCTTTGTACATCGGAGCTATGAGTGGTGCTAACAGTGTGTGAAGGTAATTACCACCAAATGCCTTAAAACAGTACGCCATGGTTTTACTTGAGAGGCTGTTTCCTCTGAAAAGTGTCTGCATCCCCTCTGTGCTGTACACCTGGTCAAGTAAAGGTTAATGTGTCTTAATCCGTCTTAACGTTTACCACGCGTTTCAGGACTATTCTCCTTGGACAACTTACAGTGTATGTGATTACAGTGTATGTCATTACAGTGTATGTCATTACGGTGTATGTGATTACAATGTATGTGATTACAGTGTATGCAATTACAACAGCCGTCACAACGGTGAATTTATTTCATTAACCCTGTTTTGACTGGGCTTTTTTAGATTTCCTCAGCCTGACACGAGTGGGGAGTGCGCTAGTCAGGACGAACTGGTGGATGGTTTGCACCTCAGGGAAACTCTCCACTAAAGGAGGACAGCTTAGCAAAACCCTGCTATTAAAACTGTTTAATTAACATTACAGCTTGAACTGAATAACTTTAGATACGGCGGATTTCCAATGCCATTGCTTGTGAGGTCTGAGGTCCCTTCCTATGCAGTCTTCTGTTCCCCCTGCATTTGCAAATAGCAATAATCGCTCGTTTGATTTCTAACAAGACTGTACTGTACTCAAGTGCTTTGTAAATGAACAAACCTCCATAGCGAACAGGTTATTCAGCAACTGCGGTAGAATCTGCCTGTCATCAAACAGCGTGACCAGAACATGAGCCAGTTCATCCTGAAATACAAAAAAATAAAGGTGAAGTCTGCATACGAGACAAGTGGCCCATCAGGCTGGTGTATCTCTCTGGTTTCTGTAGCGTGAAGTGACTAGGAGTATTTCTACTCCCCCCTGGATGGGATAGGCTTGATGCGCCGCGTTTCTCCTCTATTTTTTCGTGCGCCATTTTTCGCGCTGCGTCCCAACTAACTGAATGCCTCGAAGAGAAAACCTTGGACATTGCCATTCTACAATGATTTTTGCAAAATATAGCTTACCATCTGTTGTGCTGGTACCACACTAGCCAAGGCCATGACAATAGGGAGCTTGCCCTTTTCTCCTGTTAGAGTCAGCAAATCCACCAGTCGATCAAATCTGTCCATCAACACCGTGTCTGCCAAATTGTCGAATTCAGTGCCCTAAAAATGAACATTTGCACAAGTCAGCCATAAGTAATACAGTAACTACTTATCGATAAAATAGAGGGCCTAACAGGAAAACCTGGTGATGACAAACTGCTTGCTCTAAACAATAAAATACTGAGGCAACATGTTTGTTAAGTCAAACTATTGGGTCATTTGTTTTGGTCTTGTCCTGAACAAAACTATACTCGGTTTTCCTTAATTAATGACTCCTTTAATATCTTCTTTAATATCGCCAGATTTTGGATGCCTGTCAGTAGTTCAATAGAGGTCTGCTTTACATCATGAGTAATTATCTAACCGTCCTTCTTAGTTTATAAGGATTTTAAAATCAAGCCCATTCCCTAGGCGTGATCTTGTTACAAGATCGTAAAAAATGGCTCCATATATAAACAGAGGATAAATGTACAGTAAAATAAATATCATCAACCAGAGTATTAGCAAAATAAAGCTGTTATCACAAACCTGTTGAAGAATCCTTGTAAGCACCTCCATAAACACAGTTCTTGTCTGCAAATCGTCATGGTAACCAAGGCCTACAAAGATAAAGGAATAAACCAACCTTAAACATTTACCATAAGATGGCAATGAAAATAGATGAGGAACCTCCCTCAACAAGTGTAATCCAATAACTGCCCGTTGTCCATATTGTATTGCCATTTCCATCCCCACAAACATTACCTACCATAACGTACAAATGGGCTCCTGGCACTTGTCAATCTCTGCTCTACATGTAGTCAAATTATTACCGTTATGTTCCTATGATATAAGTGTGTACATTTTGGGCATCATGAAATTGAGCTTCGAATAGCCGAAAAATCTCTGTCTAACACTCATTACACTACAGGTGTCCTTGCATAAAATTTTGGACGTTTTAATTTCAGATACATGTTCAATTTTCAGACACTTTAATCCTATTTCGGACAAAAAATTTCAGACACTTTTCTAAAACACAGCTCAAGTAAATTTACGCCTACAAAACACGAATTAAACTGAAGCAACATCTGAGAAAACGATAGAATGGCATTTTCCTGCATTTTATTTTCCATAAAAGACACATTTTCCTTTCCAGTGATAAATAGAACGAGCAAAGCCCAATCCAAGTTCTAGATCTCTCATGATGAATATTTTCTTGGAGTGCATGTGATGGCATCGCCCAAGAAACTACGTACTTTAAAAGTTTCATACTGTACTCTAAATATTTCGGACGCTTCAAATTCCGGACACTTAAAAATTTCGGATGGTTTTAGTTTCGGACACTTTCTTTGTCCGAAATGTAAATCGTCCAAAAAAAAATTTTCTAATACAGATCTGCTTTTTTTCAATTCTTATAATCACTGTAGAAATAGATGACAAGGTGCCTTTAAATACAGCTGTGTGCTAGGTCTCTCTTTCCTTACCTATTGCATACATGAGCCCAGTATCAATATTAGCATTCAGCAGATTGGACATGGCCTGGACGGTGTTTTGATGCAGTGTTTGAGATGCGCTGTGATTTACGTCACCTTTGTCCTCCCGCTGTTCAGCTGTTATTGTACCCTTCTCTCTGTTCATCAAGTTCATGAATAGAGTGAAGTACCTAAATTTGAGTGTACAATAAAACATATTCTCACTTACAGGGTTTCTAAGCAAGGGCTAAGCAGTATGTTAAAGAAAATATCCGTCGTTGAAAAACACTTCCACCATGTATTGGACGAGTAGTCTTAACCAAAACTACCGGGAAAAAAGGTGCATTTGTTGCCACATAAGCATTCTCATGATTCATGGAATTTTTCTACATTATGTTTTTCATAAAAGAAACAAACACTTTCCTTTCCAGCATATTATTATCTTTTGAGCATGTGTGCATCATCGTAGTATCTCCTCTTATTGCGCCAGTAGGCTGCCATAAGGCTGCTCCGAATAGGGTCACCACCTTATCATAGTGGGGCAGTTTGTTTGTCTCTATGACCCCTACAGCTATGTCGGCTGGAGTGTTGCACTCCTGATAGGGTCACCCATGCTGATGCGTCGAAGGGTAGAGACCAGACAAAAAGTGATCTCCTGTTCCTCCAGGTTGGGGTTTGGGCGCAGTTAATGGCCCTGCCCCACGAGAAAAGCTAGCTGTTACAGAAACCGAAAGCAAGCATGTACAAGTGACCAAATGAAGTCACACACACACATGCATGAACAAAATAAAAGGTGAAAAGCCTCTTGAGGTCCAAGTATTTTGCAAAATATTTTCCCCTAACTCGTGTTACACTTAACAAATTGTCGAGGCTCACTTGAGAAAGAGTTGTGACTTGGCCTCCACAATGTCTGTCTCCGTTCCTTCAGGTTGCAGGGGTAAACCTGACAGTAGTGAAGCTATTGCACGCATGACAGTGGCATCGAGGTCTCTAAGAAACCAAAAAAGGGTTTGTGGATCAATTGATTATTTCTCATCAAATGTTACTGAAGAACAGAAGTGGGTTTTAATTTTGAAGTACAGTGCAACCCCGTTAATACAATCGCCAACGGGTCATGAATATTTGGCCGCATTACCGTTAATACGTCCAAATACTCATGGCCGTATTAACAGGGTAGGGTCAACTTTCGTGACTGGTCTATTTTCAGTGACCTCTTGACAGATACATGTATATCATAATTGACGGATTAATGGGGTTTTCTTATAAAAAAGCGAAAGGTCGTTCTGCCTGGACAAAAATGACTGCCCATAGTAAGGGGGTGGCCGTAAGGCGGGGTTTTACCGCACAATCAGACCTCCTCTTCCATTGTCTAATTGTGGTGAAATGGACACTGGGTTATGGTCTCAGACACACACAAGCACTACATTTTTTAAGCTTTCATAAGTTGGCATATTTCTCTACAAAGAACACATATTCTTGTTGCAAGGGGTTGTCTACGTATTTTGTTAGACGTATGCCTTAAGTATACAAAAACTATCATGGTAGAATTAATAAACAAGCCTTAAAAGGCTGGCAATTCCAAATTGAGATTTTAAAAGAGCTACTCACTTGGACAAGACAGAGAGCTCCGCAGGGATCCCCTCAGCCTGATGGTGTTCGGCAGATGGAAGAACCCAGTCAGTCAGGTATTCGACCAGCTTGTTTCTTAGCTTCACTTCTTGGTGAAGTAACAACTCATCTCTTTTTGCCATAACCTGTCACCAACACCATTACAAACCATCAACTATTATTTACCAAAATAAACAGGGAACTATTCTATGAGCATTATACCGATCAATACGCCGATCGCAACATTCGAAGTTTCTTCAACCACGCATCCGTTCAGTACTTTTTCTTCGGCCGTTTGAACGGCTGCCATCATCCGTTCGAACGGCTAGCATCATCTGGTCAAAATTTTTCGTAAGCCCTTCGAACCTTTTCCTGTGCTGTTCGAACGTGACAGCATCCGTTCGAAATTTTTCCTTGCCGTTCAACGGTATTTGAAACCATTTTAAATTGCTTTAACATCCGTTTCCCACCCTTTCGTAAGCCGTTCGTTTTGACCATTTAAGAGATATCCGTTAGAGTACGTTTTGATGTGAGATGTCACATTTGTTAGTCCATCCCGTTATGTTTATTGTTGGATAACAACTGCTTAATTAAGCGTTTCTCAACAACAAATTAAAGGTCAACTTATCATCAGCTTCCATCCATTTATTTGCACACAAATTTATTTCACTCGTTGCCAAAATCCTTACCACGTCAATTAGTTGGCAGAGTTTACATTTAATCTGCAGGGACTGGCGGCTGACTGGAAGGTTTCTTGCATACCTGAAAAACAAGGAGACTTTGTTACGTTCAAGAGACATGCATGATGAGCAAGAGTTTACGATTGCCTTCAGGAGTGACAGTCTTGCATGTTATGGAACCTTCCCAAAAACTGTTGCTAAAGGACATAAGTTCAACGTACATGTATGTATAATATTATTATTATGATTCTCTTGGAGCTAAATTTCTGGTCATTTCAATCCATATTCTGATAGTTAGGCACAGTTAGTGCCTTTTTTCAAGATCTAAAGGGCATCAAGACTAACTTGCGCCACACAAATCAATTAAACTGTTCTTGTTTGATTACAAAAAAGTAACAACATGGTAACAAGAATACTGACCTTACAAATGACAAAATCATCGCATCAATACCACTCATCTGAAAGTAATCTTTGCGTCCAAGTTTCTTTTCCAAGATGTGCTTAATTATCACAATAATCTGCAGAAAACAAACCAACAAGAATGGTCTCTCATTGTAACACTTGAAGTAGCCTGCGAGTAGGCTCTCGTGCGTTGCGGCACTAGCAAAAGCGAAGGCGTGAGAGACGAATCGGCGAGGGGGGTGTCTCATTTTTAACGGAATGCTTCGCTCACTGACTCATCTCTCACAGCTTTGTCTTTGCCTGTGCCACAGCGTATGAGAGCCTGGACAAAGTCCACATTGGAAGGTATTGAATAGGGCTAAAATCTCAGATTAGTATCTCAAGTATTACAAATAATCATCTTTTATGGTTGACGTGGTAATTGGTAAAACATAATTTTAGTGACAAGATTACATTAACTGTATGTATCTTTGCTTTGTCTCCAGGTCACAGTGGAAGTTAGGAGTATGCCCCCCTCCCCCCTCCCCATCCTTTACACATACCTGTTCAATGAAGAGAGTGTGCTTGTCTTGAATAACCGCCTAAAATGTAAAGAACTTGGTTTGAGCCACGTACAATAATGAATAACAAAAAATTTCCAGGTACAATAGAGGAGTGCTCATGAATAGCTCTTTTATTTATAAATTATTTCCATATTATGCACGAGAGGAGAGCAAGGACCACCTTTTGCAATCTTTATTGTCTAATCACAAATATCGTGTACATATGCATGGCACTTCAATAGTCACAATGTCAGGATCATTCAATGGGATAGACTGTTGGCAGCCAGTTTTTTCTCTAAGGGTCACTTAAACAAGTGTTTAGTCATCGGGAACGCAAAAGGGCGGTATGGCCGAGAGGGAATAAGGCAAGATGCATGCCCATGTCTCATCCCATTCCCCTTTAGGCTAAAGCGTCTCACCTCATGACCCCTGCTGAACTTCAAGAGAAAACAGACTACCAATTATCTAACTATGGGATTTCAGTTACGACGTTGTACTTTGTGAGTGATTTTACCAAATCAGCAAGCTCAATCAATTCTTGTTCCCAGACGTTGGATTAAACCAAGCCTCTTTTGGTCTACAAGGTCTGCTTTTTAATGATCTTTAACACTGACAGGGAAAGGCTAACCTGGCCAGAAGGTGTGAAGAAACTGTTGACCACTATCATAATCTGCGTCAGCAGAATGGGGTAAAGTTTTGGACTGAGCTCAACACCAACCAACTCATTTACTGTGCTGCGTATCTGTACAGATAAATTTGCCATTAATTAATAAATTAAAATATCACAAAGATAATAGCTAGTAAATCCTGTTTTGGCTGGCCACAATCAGACACAGTGATAACTATCTACAATACAGCAAATACATTAATGCAATTCATGCAAGTTTTGGATGTAGTTTCTTGAGGCAGCTCTGGTATTTAAGGCTGAATGTTCCAGTTATTGCCTCCACTTTCGATGACCTGTGCACAAAACCTTTTGCATGAATTGCCACTAGCATGCCTCTCATCAACCACAAATCAAAATTAATGTTCAGAACAAGACAGTTGCTTACAAGCAGTTCATGCATATATCTTGCAGCATCTTATACTGTACCAACCTGTAAACCTGTTTTTTCATTACTGCAAACTAGAAGACTCAATAAGTCTTGCATAAACCTTGTACGGATATAAAGAAAATAGGTTAAAATTAAAACAGGTGAAGGCAAAATAACACCTCTAGACATTGGTACCCTTGTGATGACTTTCTAGTGTCATTTTATGGGAAGTATATACATTGTTTACAGGAGGTTAAATAGAATATTTCTGACGTGGCGTAGTAAAACCTCATAAGCCTCGGGCAGTGCTAACCCTCAACAATTTGCTACCGTACTATAAGCGTACATACAGGGCATAAATTTTAGTATTAAATAATTCAGATTAGTTTACCGCAAACAGAACTGACTTACTTTGTTACTGTAGCACATTCAGTATTGTGTTGTTCAGTTGTGGAGTGCACAGATGAAGGGAGACTCCGGCTGTATCTTCTACAACAAGTAGAGAAAAACAAAAACATTTCTAAAGATGAAAATGTAATAAACCATGTAGTCTCAAATCTCAGTGACAAAAAGACAGTTTAACAGGGATGACAACATTGACATAAAGGGTTTTTTCCTTATGCTGTTATGTTCATGTTGTTATGTTGCTTTATTATATGGCTAACTCCGTGAGCAGGCAAGATGAATCAAATCCTGTGCTGTGATTGGCTACCCAAGCGGGCAAAATGGAGCTATCTTGCCCGCTTGGGACTACCCCTCATGTCCCGCAAGAAAAATTTCCCCGAAAGCCAGATACTGGTAATAAATCTTTTATTGACCAAGCTTGTTCAGTCAAGATTGCTGGATATTGGCTTCGTTCTTTTATTGCGAGTTTATGGACCCCGACTCCATCTCAGTCCATAAACACACAAAAAAAGAGCTTGGCCAATATCCAGCCATCTTAACCTCATACTTGGTCAATAACCCATACATAATGTTGTTATGTTGCTATAATGTCATTATGTCAGGACATTCACACTGCAAACATAACAATAAAGCACCCTTCTTACGTGGTACTAAAAATAACCTCGAAACAACATAGCTGTGAATAAAACAATACCTGATTGTTTGTAATGAGGTCAAACACACTCCTCCTAATGAACAAAGAAACCCTGTCATGTATGTCCATTCATTTAAAGATGCCTGCATGAAATGAAAATGAAAACAAATGAGTATTTATGAACAAGATGGTCACTTTATCTACAACATGAAATTTAGTTGCAACAAATGCATCAGTTGTTCCAAAAAATATCCATACCCAACCCAAGGAGGGCTAGTGGAAATTCCAAGGGGTAGGGAGTTGGAACACACAAAAGGAATGTTATGCTTCTGATTTTTTTAATAAACAACGAAACTGAATGATTAACGTTGTAACTTGCACATGTGCCAGTTACAGTGTAGTAGTAAAGTAGTGAAACCTCTAGCATACATAAACTACAGTAGCAAAAATGACAAAAAAATATAATTTCATGTACCTGCATATTTTCAGTGGTGATTTTTGATCCCGATCTCCGCCTCAAATATTTTTGCACATCTATCGAAGAGGAGTCTTCTTTAGCAAAGTGCACAAGGTCAAAGGTTAACCTCTGCCATTTTGAGTAAGTACTTTCCCAGGCCTGTTACGAAGTAAAACATATAAGCACAACAGTTACCTGGCTTTGCATTGTTATCACAGAAGCCAATCATAATCCTGTTGAAACGTCAGATTTTTTCTCAGCTTTCACTGCAAGTAAAAATAATGTCTTGAATACTTATAAGTGATCTAGTTCGAAAATGATTTCTTAATTAACATGGCAGATGGTCATGTGACTAAACAAAATAATGTTCACAGAAATTCAGATGAACACCAAATGACACATTGCACCAAATGAAACACAATCAAGCAAAGCTTAGAAAATAATTACTGAAATACACCTGTTATTAGCCATTTGAGGCAAGCACCATTATGTGGACATAAGTTTAACAAAAGACACTTACAGTACATTCACATTCAAAATGCTGTACCTGAATGTTTCCTGCTGTTTGTCGGTCAAGCTGCCTTAACAAAGCCATGATGCGTTTTTGTAGTGCTGCTCGACCTACAATAGAATAAAATGTTAAGAAACTTTAATCTCAGTTTATTTTGACTCATTTCTTATATTTCATGATGTTCTTCAGTTGATATAACTGGGAAATCTTTTTGGAAATTTCATGTTAAAACTCCATCATTTTCAACTGTAAGCAGTGACATAACTAGCACTCACTTGACAGATTAGTGATTGAGCACAAAATTAAATCTGTTGATAGACTACAGAGGCTACTTAGCTTACCAAGAACACTTCAAATTATCCACTACACAGTCAGGGGATAAGAATGCCATTATTGGAAAATCTTCACTGAAACACTCATAAAGTTAAATTCAATTTTCATCTCCCAGTCAAGGAATAGTGCAAGTACTCATAGCTGCTAGAAGTTGCCACAACATCACAGCACAATCAAATGCTTGGTCTACATACAAGCCAAGGCAGACTCTTATCGCTGGTTTCTGTAGCATGAAGCAACTAGGAGTATTTCTATTCCCCCCTGGATGGGATGCTAGTCCATCACAGGGTTACCCCCAGCATTAAATTTGCAGGTACCCATTTATACACCTGGGTGGAGAGAGGCACTATGAGTGTAAAGTGTTTTGCCCAAGAACACACCACAATGTCCTTAGCCAGGGATTGGACCCAGACTGTTCGATCAGATGTCAAGCGCACTAACCACACCTTCCTGCAATCATATCCTTAGCAAGACAAACACTGTGGGCCCAAATTGGTCTCTAAGACCAGAATTCACCATCAAGTGATACTTACCAGCTGTGAATTTGGTGGCCTCATTTGACAGCTCATTGTACACATTCAAGTTTTGGGAGATTTGAAGTACATTAAGAGTCTCTGAACTCTGGACAATGTCTGCTTCATTGCACATTTGGCCAAAGCAGGCGAGAGATATCAACACTGTTTCCATATCTGGATTCCATAAATAAGTTAAAAATACTTCCTGAAAGCCAAAACAAATGATACGTCATGCCATATGATTTCTTTCAACTTACAGCTAAACTTTCTTCAGCATTGACATGTACATGCAAACTTTGGCTTAAATGAGCTTTTCATTGGAGATAAACTACATTAAAACATAACTAAAGAAACTTAACAATTGCATACCAGATTATAAAATACCAATAAATATGGAGCTACATAAAATTATTGGGCAATACATACACTTTGTATGTATCAACCCTCCTGGCACCTTATATGTCAATACCCTAGAGAATCTATCCGGCTGAAGTAAAGAACTTCTACTATTAAAAAAATAGAAAAATGAAAATTTAATTTAATATCATTTATGCTTCATGTATTTCACCAATAGCAGAGAATGGCACACACCTCAAGTTTAGTTTGAGAAACTGTACAGATTGGTATGTGACAACCTATGGAAGCTTGCTCCTGTGGGAAAAGCAAATTAATATAATGATTAAATTGTCCTTTAAGATACCAAGAACCCAGGGCTGTCATTAAGGACTGTAGCCCATGCTTAAAAGTAGATTCCTCTATCATAATGGAATCGTAAACCAAACAACCAGTAATATTTCATTGCGTACTGAATGCTAGAGGGTTGCAGTGACAGCACACTACAGTTTATGAAGCTCAGGAGTTGATGAGTAAAAGTGTTAAAAACAAACAAACAAAAAAATGAAGAGAGATGAAACAAACCTTATGTTTCCTCAGAAACTCATTTTTGCTCAGAGTCAGATCCCTCAAGTATCTTAACAGGACTGTTCCATGGCTGCCATGACCAATGAGAAACTCAGCAATAGACACCATCACATGTGAACTGAATGAAAAAAATTGGCATGCAGTAGTTAAATCTATAGTGATTTCTTAACT